CGCACGCACACAAACACACGCACGCACGCACACACACACACACACACGCACACACACACACTCACACACACACACGCACTCAAAACAGACACACACGCACACACACACACACACACACACACGCATGCCGCAGATCCCCAAGGCGTCTGGAGCCAAGCTCGTGCTGCTTGCGCCGCAAGGGGTCATCCAGTTTGTTTATCCCCTGCAAGAGAATAGCAAGCTTCTTGGCATCGACAACCTCAGAGGTGAGCTCCCTGCTCCACCGGATGTTGAGCGAGCGCGCGTCAGGTGGGTTCGGCGGCGCACGAGCAGTATGCTCCAGGCATACAGGTGCGATGGGACTCGGCTGCCAGACATCGCGTCCTGCCCCGCCGTGCATCACTTCACTCCATGCCATGCCTGCTTGCCTGATCTTCAGACCCGAGGCGGCGAACAGGGTCACTGGCGGCAATCGAGAGGGGCAACGTGACCATCCAGGGACCCCTGCCAGTGCCTGAGGGCTACAATGCCTTCATCTTTAGGCAACCCATCTTCATCCCAAACGTGTCGGACCCAAATGAGGCCTTTGGGTGCGCGCATGGGCGCCCGATTGTGCGCTAATCTTATGAGCGCCGCGTCTATCTGGCAACCTCGACCGCAGCCGACGCCGCCGCTTGAGACGCACAGGGGAACTCGTCGAATTGCCGCACCAGCCGCATGCCCAGCCCATACCTACTTTCTTTAACCGATTGTGCCTTCACCTCAAGTACTGTCTTGCACGTGGATCGAGCAGGCCCCCACACAAAACTCCCTGCGTGTTGCCGCGCCGCAGCGCGCCCCGCCCGGCCTATGACTGCGGGCCGTGCTACAAACCCGAAACCCGCGCGCGATTTTGGGGCTTCGCCACGATCTACGTGGATGCAAGCGCCGTCGCCGACGTCAGCGACACGGGCAGCAACACGCGGCTCAGCAGATTGGAGAAAATCGGCTACTCCTACCGCCTGACCGCCCCCCAGCCGGACGGCCCGTCGGCGACCCTCGCAATGTCGGAGGCCGCGCCCATCGACCCTGTTTTAGTGACCGTATCAATGCCGAGCGAGGAGGCGCTGTGGTGGCGGCTGGAGATTGCGCCGTCGCGGGGCTGGGCCCCAGTGTGGCGCGACCCGGCGCTTGGAGCGGTGGCGGTGCTGAGCGCCGCGATTGGCGCGCTGAGCTGCGGCATCCTGGTCAGCAGGCGGCGGCTCAAGCGCACAGTCAAGGCTCTGACGGTGGGGTCTGGGTTTCGTTTGGGGGTGACGAGTGGGGGCTAGGCGCGGCACGCGTTTGCTACTTGATGCTGGATGAAGGGTGTGCATGTGTGTGCATATGTCTGCATGTGCGCGTTGTATGCAAACTTGTATGTATGTGTATTTCATGATGAATTGGATGAGTGTGGGTTTGCTGCCCTGTTGGGTGAGGGTGCCACCCTCGCTGCGGGTTATTTGTGTTGGGAGTCTGACCCATTCTGCGGGCATCCTGCCCGCTGCTCAGCTTGGCCAATGCTCTGATAGCAGTCTCCCAGGTCAGCCTCACATTCCCTATGCGCCGCCACCCGTCTGACAGCGGGACAGCCGAGCTCACCCGCAGGCCCCCCGGTCTGCCCCGCCACGCCCGCCAGGTCACCAACCGCGCCCTGGCCGCCGAAAAAGAGCGAATGGACGTGCTGCTGGCTCGACAGCTCAACCTCATCAGCTGCGCCCTGGGGCAGCGCAGCAGCGACAGCGGCGGCGCGCGGGCCGGCGGCGGCGCCAAGCCAGTGGAGCAGTCTGCACGAGGTGCGCACGCTTGCCGTGCTAGCTTGGGGTCGACGTTGCTCAAATACGAGCGGGCTGTGGTCGGAGTGTGTGGGCCAGGAGTGGATGGGAGTCGTGCAGGGCACTCCAGGGACGCATTTCGCGGCAGCGTGTGCAGCCAGCAGACGCGCGCTGCGGGATGTGCAGGGCAGAAACCGCGCCCTTTGGCTGGTGGTGCCGACAACGCCTGAGCGTCCGGCAGCAGCCCGCATAGCAGCGGCTTGGCTGCGCCCGCAATCTTGGCCGCGGTCACCAACGCGCGATCATCGGTCGGCGATACTGTCACAACACAACCACGCGTGGGCACGGGGCGCAGAGCAAATTGAGGACATGCGGCGGTCGCTCAACACGCCCAGCGGGGCGGCCCAGGGAGTGGACGAGCTTGAGTTGCTGGAGCTGCTGGGGGAGGGCGCTTTCGGCAAAGTGTACAAAGGTGTGGTCTTGCAGGCTACCCGTGCTCACGTCTTAGATGGAGCTTGCAGGCCGTTGACTTGGCACAGAGGTAGCGTCGCCGCGCCGGCCAGCCAGCCCACAATATTGACGTCGCATGCAGCTGCCCTGCAGCTCCCCACCCTGGCGTCACGCCTTGACATGATGCCTGACTCTGCATCAGCTGACTGCTGCGCCCGCACACGCCGGACCAGGCACGTGGCGCGGCAGTGCGGTTGCAATCAAGGTGATGATTCTTCCTGCAAGGATGAGCGGCAAGGAGAAGCGGGAGAGGATGGCCCTGATGGAGGCCGCCATATCCTCGGTGATGCACCACCCAAACATCGTGCAGGTGTGGGGTGCTGGCACGCGATCTGCTGCGATCCGGCAGTGCCAGACCACTGGACGGATGCGTTTTTGTGCCTGCAGCGCTCCTGCTCTTGACCGTGCTGGCGCCAGCAGCAGACTGGCGGGAGCTGTGCAGCAAGCTTGTCGCATCTCGCGGTTTCGCATTCCCCTCTCCCCAACTCCCCCTGAGCCCTGCTTGTCCGCCGTGCTTGACCTGCTGTCCTCTCCTTTCTATCCTCCTCGGACCCCTCAAGACGTATACCTACACAATCCAGCAGTCAACCAGCAGCCATATCAGCAGCCTTGAGTGAGCGAGCGATGATGCGTGCATGCGCCCCCTGAACCGCTTCGTACCCTGCGGCCTCGGACAGCTGTCCCACTGGCCACACTGCGCGACAAGTTACGCTTCGCTGCACAACCCTGTTGTGGCCCCCTTTGCAAGAAACATCACCCCCTCACCCCGCCGCACACTCTCAATGCTTCGCTCTGCAGCAGCGACAACATCGGGGCGTTCAGCATGCGCTGCCGCAAGCGCATCGCGCCCAGAGCACCACCTGGCGGCGACGCCCTGTCTGCTGGATCGCTGGCTGCGCCCATCCAGTCAAGACCCAGCTCGCGCATTCACAACTTTGAGGTGCGTTTTCACCAGCAGCTCAAAGTTATTAAATCATGTCGCCAGCAATGCGTTGCGGCGGGGCCTGGTGCGCCAGGAGGCGCAGGGTGCAGGCTGCGCAAGCAATCGAGGAGGGCGGCGCAGGGCGAACACAGGCATTATGTGTCAAAAGCTATGCGAAGCCTTGGGTGGGTGTTGCTTGTGCATGGCCATCTCGTTTTGTCCATCCGTCACAGCTCGGAAGACGCCTCATCCGTGTCAGGGCTAAAAAGCCACGGGTGGTGCTGGTTGCCGGGGCGCGCCTGTGTTTTTATGTACCTTGCTCTGACCTGTGCATGCGGCACTCTTCCCCCACAATACTTCTTGTATATCTAATGTCAGGTGTGCATTGTCCTGGAGTACTGCGAGATGGGATCTCTAAGGGACGCTCTGGATGGGGGGGCGTTCTTCCTCGGTGAGTCGAGGGTTCAGGACGAGGGTTCGCACCGCTGGTTGTGCACGCGTCGCATGGTTATTATAATCCATGATAGACTGGGTGAGCAGCGGGTTCGCCTTGTCTGTAAACGTTGCTCGCATGGCCATTCCCCATGGGGCAAAGGCTCACTGCTGCACGCAGATATGCAGGCCCCAATACGTGGGGCCTGTGCGCCGAAGTGGAACCAGCACACTGCTTCGGACCATGCTCCCTTGACAACACACACACTCATGCAGATGAGGGCCGGAAGCACGTCAATATGGCTGCAGTGCTGGAGACGGCGGCCGACGTGGCACGGGCCATGATACACCTCCACACGCAGCAGGTGGGTCATGACGTTCGGGCATCTGGGGCGCTAGCTTACTTCACGCAACCTTGTGACCTGCACGCATGCACCAATCAGGGGCAAGGTGGTCCCCTCACGATTGGGTGCAGCGGACGCTGGCTCTGCTGCATGTTGTTGCTTTGTGCAGGAAGGGTCGGGCTGAGGAATCTGAGTGATCAAACAGCTGTAGTAGCTCACGGGCTTTGAAATTAGCTACTAATACCTCAATATTGGGGTGCCAACTTCAGAAGTACGCAGTTACTCACTTGCACCTCCATTTCATTTCGCTCATTCCCTTTGTTAATTGGCCGCAGATCATCCACTCTGACCTGTGAGCTGCACACTGAAGGGCTGTGGTCGTGTGGGCAATACAGGCCTGGGCGTTGCGCTGCGCCGCGTGCTCAGTCCCTGGGACTGCCCTTGATACTTGCAGCTGTGGCCTGCGCCGCGTGTGGAGGCCCTCTGAAGTGCCTCGCGAAGTCCGTTCAGCGGCTGTTGAGCCGCTGCATGCGCACGCGCCAGCTCCACAACAGACCCCCGACAAACCTTCATGACTCATCATTGCTTAAACTCAACACAATGGATGACTCACCTCTGCAGGAAAGCGCGCAACGTGCTGCTCAAGGCGGAGGGTAAGGGCGGCCGCGGCATAGTGGCAAAGGTGGCAGACTTTGGCCTTAGCGTGAGGATCGACACCCACGCAACCCACGTCTCCGAGTTTCAGGTGTGCGGGGCAATTTGGTTTGTTGTTGTATGTGTTCGGTCTTGTCCAGCTCAGGGAACTGGGGCTGCAGCAGTCAAGCAAGGTCGTACATTTGACAGCGCCTTGTGCCGAGTCGGCTGGCTCGGCTGTTTTACCGTATCTCCTCTCAACAAGGCACCTTACCGGGCAGACAGATTGTTGACCACGAGGATCCCAGGAAAGCTCACTCATTTGTTGTTCCACTTACCCTTATTGCACACGGGCCATCCCCACTTACGGAAAAGTATCACCCCCCCAAAAAAACAACTCCCAGGGCACCGTCAGCCACATGGCCCCTGAGACCCAGCTGCAGCGGCGCATCACAAAGGCCTCTGACGTGTACAGCTTCGGCATCACGCTGTGGGAGCTCCTCACAGGCGGCCACGCCTTCAAGGGTGCGGCATGATCAATGCCGCACACGCAGAATGTAGCCTGTGCGGGCGCGCGGGTGCAAGGTCTGACTGCGGCTCTAGCTGCGCTGCCCTTGCCGCAGGCTTGGCCCATGGATCACCAGGCTCTCACGCCCTCAGCCCCCATCAGTCGCGTGCAGGCCCGGGTCATATGTGTGTGCGCACGCGCGTGTGCACTCACAAAACGGGTACTGTACCTGCAATCTCCCAGGGGGTGTCTGGGCCAATAGTCTGGGCCAACCCTCCAGACTCGCTCTGAACAACCACACCCAGGCACCCCAGTCCTGCTGCTGGCACACGAGGTCTCTGTCCAGGGCAAGCGCCCCCAGTTCCCTGACTCGACGCCGCGCGGCTACCGCCGACTGGCGGAGGCGTGCTGGGACCCTGACCCGGCAGCGAGGTGCGCGTGCCCTCGCGCTCGCACCGCTGGGACCTGGGGTGTGTGCGTTGGGGCGCACCCTTTCGTGCGTTTGCTGCATCCTGGGCCAGCGCGCTTTGCTGGATCGGTCGGTGCCTTCTTCCCTCACCTCCCACGTGCATCTTTTGGGATGCTTTGATGACCCCTTGACCGCCGTCTCACTGTGGTGTCGCCGCGCATCCCTTCGCTTTGCCTGTGGCGCCGGCAGGCCCTCGTTTCAGGAGATCCTGCCGGCGCTCCTGGCCATGCGCAAGCACATCGGCGGCGCGACGCCCCCGCTGCGCCCCTATGTGCCCCACGCCAGCTCGGAGCCCGAAGGGGTGCAGCTGCCGCAGGTGATGTCACCGGGCAAATGAAATGGAGTTGTTTGGGGGGGAAGCAGCTGAGGGAGGCTCAAATTTGCTTGCAGCACCCAGGAAGTGCTCAGTGCAGAACGGGGGAGGGAAGGCGAGGCCAAGGGAGTGCATTGGGGCAAGGTGGCAGATCTGCAGGCTCAGGGGGACAGAGAAAGGGGCCCCAGGAAGGCGGGAGGGTGCAAGTCAACGGTTGCAGAAGGGTGTCTGGTCTTGCTAATGCAAAGGGGGGTGAGGGCGCGGGTGTTAGCGCCGGCAGCGATGAAGTTGACACTTGAGGGTTGAGAACAGGGGACAAGCACTAGAGGCAATGCCACGATCACTTACAGGCGCCTGCCCTTGTTTCATTTACCGTGCCGCATGGTTGCACCCACACCGCACAGTGCCGAGCATGCTCCGCCTCTCGCCCCCTCACCAACCCTTCAGGCGCGGCTGGATCCCTCTTTTGAGGGCGATGACGAGGACGAAGATGAGGAGGGCGACGGCCACCTTGACAACGGCGGCGCCGACGGCAACGACGGCGGTGGTTGCGAGGGCCCTGGCGGCGCCGCCTATGATGGCCGCGGCGCCTGCGAGGGTCGCGCCGCCTTCACCCGCGCGTCGTTTCAAGAGGGCAACGGCGGCGCAGCTGCGGCGGTGGAGGCGGCCGACGCAGCGCCCGCGCTGCCGATGCTCGCGCCGCAGCGCGGGCCAACTGCGATGCCGCTGTGGGGCGCTCCGCCGACCAGCATGGCGAGCGGCTTCAGCCCCAGGTCCCTGGGGCTCTGATTTCATAGCGGCCCCTCAGGGTGCCGCATGGACGCCTCTGAGTATGTGTTTGGTCAAGCCGCGCGAATGTGCATGCTTGCGGGCTCGCCGCACGAAGCACGCGACTCTCTACAAACTTATGACTGAATCCTCTTGTTCTTTGACGGGGCCACAACCAACGTGGAACCTTGGAAGTGCGCTGGAGCCCCTGGCCGCAGCCGGCAGATACCATCTCAGCGGCCAGTAGTGCCGCACACGGCGCACGCACACATTTGAATCGCGTGATTGTGCTTTTGTTCGCACGCCTTTGACGGCATGCCTCTGGGGGTGCCTTGTGCACCTGGGTCACAGAATATTAGGCGCTAAGAAACCCTGACATTGGTGCTTGGTTTGCTGCTAATTTGGGACGTCCGCACTGTGGCATGCCGGGCAGCTTTGGAACCGACGCCGGCTGGCAAGGCCGCACCACAATCGCACTCCCAGCTGTACACGCATTCCCCCTCGTTGACTTGCGAGACTGCTACTTTGTCATTGCTGCACACAACTCTGGCTCACGAGAACGCCACACAAAGATTGTCGTTGCCACAAGGCAAGGAGGCATGCCGGATGTGCCGACGACTATTGGGTGGTTGCTGGCCTTGCAACTTCTGCCGATACGAGCGAATCATTTCCATGTGTGCATGGATGTGTGCGTGCAATTGCTCCCACTTCCTCTGTGTATGTATGTGTACGTGTGTGGTGTGTTTTGTGTGCAATGTGCGGCTGCCTGGTACATGAACGTGGCATCACTCTGGCTGTTTCGCCCGCACACGCCTCAGGTGCACATGCAATTCGTAACCCCCTGACTGAGCGAGCTTCCTGGCGTGCAATTTACAGGGCGGCAGGATATCTAATGGGGGATGGATACGGCCTCAGCAAAACTCGCATGGCAAGCAAGCCGCAAATCGCGCCAGGCAGGCAGCCAGGCGGGCACGCAGCAAACAGGTGCTGGCCAACGGCGGCCTCACGCACACCACTGGAGCCAGGATGACGGTTGGGGGGCAACCGCCCCTCCGGGGTGCAGGGGCGTCCCAAGCATGATCACTGGTGGTTTCGAGCAAGGAGCCTCTGCGCCAATGCGCAGCATGGCTGTTTTGGTGCTTGTGATCACTCAGTTAGTCTTTTCAGGCGGGCGGAGCGATGCCCGCCCCTGTGCACGCTCGCGCGCCACAGCACACAGAGCGAGCGCCGCGCCTGGCCCCACGACAGGGGAGCCCACAACCAGAGCGGCCGCGGCGATCCATCCGCGCTCCATGCCCGCAAACGCGACAGCGCCAATCAGAAGGAAAATCCAATCCAGCAGCACGTAGTATGCAACCCCCGCAGCAACGTCCGTCTGCACCGCGGCTGCCGTGGCATGCACCATCCACTCTGCCCAGGGGCTTCCGGCAACGCGAGGCGCGCGCAGCCATGCGGCGATTCCAAACACATACTGCAGCATCAGGAGCAACAAAAAGGCGGCATAGGCCCATACAGCAGCCGCGCGGCCCTGAGCCGCAGGTTCTTGCGGGGCTTGCTGCCGGGGGCTTGATGAGAGCCGCGCAAGGTCAGCTGAAAACCCAGTGCACAACGGCACTGCTGTCAGGCGCCCTGCGGCCCAGCACGCGTAAAACGCAAACCGCCACGCGCCAGATAGACCCGGGAGCGCATGCACGACAATAGAGGCTGCGACGCACAGCCCCGTGGTCGCGGCGGCGCCCAAGACCTGCGCACGCGGCGGTGGCCCGGAGTCATGAGCTGAGGACAGCCACATGTCTGGGAGCCACGCCACCAGGACCACCACGCTGCTGCTGAGCAGGAAATCCGTTATTGCCACGAGTGACAGGCATCCCACAAACAAAGGAGCGCCTGATGAGATGCGCATCGAATTTTGGGCAGGGCGGGGTGCAGGTGTGTCAGAGGGAGCTTGGAGAGCTGAGCGCGGGCAGCACAGGTCGCATCAACGGGCCGCTGGCATACCCAGGACATGGGTGCATCGATGCAGCGCCCCTCCAGCTGCTTACCGGGTTTGGTTGACTCTATTGCTTGCAGCAGCAGCATCGCGCCGCTGAGGTTGAACAACAGCACCACCGAGAGCCTGCCGCCTGCCGCGCCAGCCAGATGCGCGTGCGGCACATCAAGGGGTCGTGTGAGTGTGGTACACCCGGCGCAAGCGGCAGGCATGCGCGGGCGCACTGCTGCCACCCATGCGGTTTGCAAACGGCTCACATGCCACCACGGTCATGTGCCTACCTGGGGTTGCGGCGGCGCCGTCCCACAAGTGTTGCATGGGGCACACCCAATCAAGGCGCAGGGGGCGCGCAGCGTCGGGGATCGGGGGGGCACCCTCTGCGCCTTGTATGCAAGGAGCATACGCCTGCTGCAGGTAGGGCGTGCACACCAGCTTCATATAAACCAGGAGGGCTATGCCCACGAGGGTGCTCATCACAGAGCATGCTCTTGCTGTCCGAGGAGAGTGGCCGCGTGGATCAGGTTGCGCCATACGTGCAAGACAGACGGCTGAGCGGAAACGTGTGACTTTTTGCCTCGTGGTGTAATGCACATCATCCAACGAAGCAGATCTGATATGCGAAGATCGTCCCGCGGCAAATCCGAGACTCTGGCACTGGAAGTAACCGTGACAGAGCCTGAAACAGGCGCGAGAAGTGCGTCCGCGCATGCCCAGCCATCTTGGGGGGCGCGGGCAGGGCGAGTGCAGCGGCAGGCTCTGCATGCGGCATACAACAAGGCCCAAGGACACATGTGAGCTACGCGCTCACATACCTGCACGACCAGCGGGGCGAATCAGAGAGCCCGCGCTGAGAAGGTGCAATGAACCGTGACAGAGCCTGGTAGGATGGATCCATAGCCAGGCGCGAGGTGAGTGGTGCGGGCGGCTACATAGCCAGGCGGCACCCCAACCAAAAGTGCACAAGCAGATCACCAGCAGCTAGCCCACACACCTGAAACAGGCGCGAGAAGTGCGTCCGCGCATGAACAGAAGGCCCAAACCAATCAACGTGCCAGGCTAACAATCCCCAGTGCCTGTAGCTACCTCGATCCGTCGGGAGCAGCTGCTGCTCCCGTGCAGCAAATCCGAGACTCTGGCACTGGAAGTAGGTACAGGCTCGGGAGACGGAAAGCATGGAAACATCACGCTGAAAACCCCGTCTGCTTTCCTGCGATACACCATTGCGCCTGCTCGCCGAGCGAGGTGCTGGTGCCCAGGCTCACAGCTGGCGACTCCTGAGCCCACTTCAGTAGGAGTGCGACCTTGCCCATGGCGCCGCTCCCCGACTATAGAGTGCATTTCTGCAATGATTTTTTACAATTCAATGTGTGTCTGAGGGCAAACCACACCGCGCTTGGGCGGCATCAAGGAGGTTTTTGGTGGCGCCCATCATAGGCACGCAGCCATTTTTGTAATGCAGTTGGGGAGGGGCCATCACGTCCCTTGGGCCGCAGTCACAGGCTTTGTGTGCGTCAACATTTACAGTCCTGCCTCGCGGGATGACATGAGAGCCACGGGCTGTGCACGTCTCAGCAGCAAGGGCTTTGTTGGCGCCAGTGAGTCACTGCTGCCCGGTTACAACCTACCCATCCAGGTGCATGCACCTGGACCACCCAGCAGCACGTGCTGCTGCTGGGTGTCGACACACGGAAACGTTTGTACATCACATTGATATTTGAGTGGTTGCAATGCATAGAATTACTCGGCGTGCAGCACCCGCCAGTTGGTGTCGCGGCAGGCAAGCCAATGTGTATGTGCGCGCCGCCAGTCTCAAGGCTGCATGTACCAGCACTGGGATGCCATCTCAATGAGAAATGGTGCATTGATGCGTCTGCGCGCGCAGCCCTTGTGATCAATTTGGCAGCAGCTGTCACTGCCAGTGACCTGATGAGGACGTGCATGCCCGAGCGCCCCTCGCCCAGCCGCCCTGCCTTGCTTGCTTCGAGGGCTTCGAACCGTTAAAAGGATCTACATAGAAAGGACCACCAATCAACGGAAAACAAGTCAGACAACCTGCGGACAAACACCCTGTTCACCGCCAAGGGGGCGACACATGCAATCACGCTGCTGGATGATATCCCGCTGATGTCACTGCGCCATGGCCCGGCTGGTGCCGCCGCCATCAACGACCAGCAGAGAGCCCGTGCAATAGTCTGCAGGTGAGGGTTTGACGCGAAGACACGTTGGCAAGAGCGACACGGCGGGGGCGACGCTTGTGCGTGGTGGCGACTAGGAGAAAGGTGAGAGCACGGTTTCAAAGGGCCCTCAGCGGCGGCCGCAAGCATGCTGGTGGCCAACTGATTCACCCCAGCAGAGCGCCAGTTGGCGAGCCGTTTCACCCAAGCAAGGCACTCCATCTGCCCCATCCGATCCCCCCAACCCACCCCACCCCCAAACCAGGCACTGTTGATTAAGCAGGGGACACCGTGAGAAAGCTTTGAAAACAGCTGAGAACCCGTTATACCCCATCTCAATTGGCCAAAAGCCCTTCAACATCAATTGTTCCCCAGTGTGTCGTCATTCCCGCAGGGTCACCCTCCTTGATGACCTGTCAATCCCCGATGCCTTCCCTCCTCCCCTCAACCGTGGAGGCATGACCTCCCACCCACCCCTACCTCAATGCACCTCCTGACCCAGGACATTCCTTTGCTGGCCCAGCACACGTACCTGCCGCGTGAGATGAGAGGAACAGAATGGGACCCACGATGTCCTCGGGCTCGGCCAGGCGCCCCAGGGGGATTCGATTGAGAATGTAAGACAGCTTGTGAGGGTCATCCTGGGTCAAGAGCATAGGGCGAATGGCCGAGGGTAGGTGCAGTTGCACATTGTGCACTTAAAAACTTTCTTTTGAGAATTTTGTGGGAAGCCGAAAAGGCTGGTCTGGTTTGCCCTGATCGGTATTATGCACTCAGCTGAGATGCGCTGCAAGTTTCAGTACAGGGTGTAGTTGAGGATGAATAATTTGAAGGGGGGTGTTTTTGTGGAGTTGATTTGTTGGAGCAGGGAGGAGCCGTCCAAAAATCGCGGCTGTTTCAGAGGGGTGGAGGCAGGCAGATCGGTAAGCCTGTGCAGCCTGCGCACGCACCAGAATGCGCGTCGTGAACGGCGTGTTGACTGCACCTGGCAGCACCACATTCACATTGATGCCGTCCTTGGCCCTGGAAATGCGTGTGATAACAGTGGGTGTGCAAGACTGGAGTCGACGTTGCGTAAGCCACGAACCACCAAAAAAATGACTGAGGGAGTCCAATATCTGGTGGCCGCAACCAAGCAGCCAGGCGCGTTTGTTTATTTCAGCACCGGCATGCTGACGGCCGTCGGCGCGCCCAAACACGTGCATGGTCACCCTCATTAAGCCCCGCCCATCTGATCGCCCCCCTCTCTCCTGCTGGCGCCCGCACCATGCCAGGGCGAGGCTCTTGGCCAGGGGTATGACCGCCCCCTTGCTGGCGCAGTAGGCCAGCTGTGGACCGTACCCAGTCAGGCCTGCGCGGCGGGCGGAGTGCAGGCGGAGTCGTGCTCATCATGCATCGCGACTCATGCATTGCGGCTGAGCATGCGGCGCCAAGCAAGAAGAGTGCGCCGCAGAAGGGTGTCAAGCAAGGTGGGGCCTGCTGGTCTGGGCCCCTTGATTCCAGGGCTTGGGGTTCCTGGCCCAAGCCCATCTTGCTGATGATAAGGGCTTGGCCTGTTGGCTGGGTACTGCAGCTGCAGGTCACTGTTCCACGCGATGCAGTGCCGCGTCGCGTCGCATCGCGCCAATTCGGTCGATGCGATAGCGCGCCGCAGTCTATGCCAGGCAGCCAGCACCATGACCGAGTCTGTGGGGCGTCGTCGCAGCCCCCGCCTCCACGCGGGGACGCCAAAGCAGGCGCCCTCGAGCGTGCGTGCTTGCAAGAGCCGCATAGACACACGCGCATATGTGCAGCCCACCGGCGACGCTGCTGGTGATCACGATTTTGCCGCAACCGCTCTTCTTCAGGAGGGGGTAGGCGGCGCGCGTGGCGTGCAGCACGCCGTCCTGTTGAGTGGGAGTTGATGGGGCAGGCTGATGGGCGTGGGGGGCTGGAGCGTCATTCGTGCTGTCAATCACACGCTTCACAAGACATACAAGATTGTCATGAGCCTGGAAGCGTGCTCACGCGACCCCGCGGCTCATTCACTTGTCTCTGCAGTCATCGCACACACACTCACTCCCAAGAACATCCCCCCCCAAAAACACACACACGCACTTGCTCAAACGCATGCACGCGCACACAAGGCGCGCGCGTGCACACACACGCACGCACTCACATGAACGCAGACATAAAAATACAAACACACGATGGATTCATCGCAATGCTGTCTGCCTGCACCAATACGGTGCGCGGTGGCACATCACAGGAATATATAGGGCCCCACCACGTTGACCGCAAACACGTTCTTGTAGTTCTCCTCGTCCAGCTCCTCTGGCGGCTGCATCAGCCCCAGGATCCCGGCGTTGGCCACCAGCACGTCCAGGCCGCCATAGACCCTGGGGATGGGTCATTGGTGATAGGGGCATAAGCAAGCAGATTCGCACGTCTATGAGCCTACAATAACTCCGTAATTTCATGTTTTGAATATGTCATTGGGGGGATATTGGGTGTGTGTTTCGGGTTGACGGCTTGATTGCGTGTGGGGCTGGCAGGGATTTGGGGTGATCGGTGGCAACATGTGGTTCGGGCAGACCTCAACAACACCACTGCAGTCGGCCGTTTGTTGGGCGGTCTGGCATGAAGGCGATGCCTTGGCACAAACACTGGCTGGCTTTGCCTTTTTTAGAGGCCCCCCGCATCGACAGACCTGCTGGCAGAGGGGCACAGAAGCACATGGAAACAGCACCACAGCACCACAGCACCACAGCACCACAGCACCACAGCTCCACAGCACCACAGCACCACAGCACCACAGCGCCACAGCGCCACAGCACTGCAGCTGCAGCAACCAATCCCGACGCGTGACACGTACGCAGAACCACGCCCTCACCCACCTCTCCACCTCCCTCATGGCGTCGTCAACGCTCCCCCTGTCCCTCACGTCCATCGACAGCGGCAGCGCGGAGCGCCCCAGGCCCTCCACCTGCGTTGGGGGCGCCGCCACCAGGGAGGTCCCTCGAGGGTCAAGCAATACTCCTGATAGAAAAAACTACACACTCCATGGGAGGCGAGTTGTTTGAAGGCGCAGCGAGGAGTCATGGAGCCGCCGCACATGCACCAATGGTCATTTCAAGAGATACAGCAGGACGCGCAGGGGCTGACTTGCAGGCAGCACCCAAGACTTCAGTGGGGCCAGCAAGCCTCGCCCTTCACAGTGGGCACATCAAGCCCAGCCCCAGCGACCTTTGAGGCCAGGGAATCCAGGTCAGCGGAAGTGCATGCCAGGTCAGCCAGCACCACGTCAGCCCCTGCCCTTTTGTTCGTGGCGGCGACGACGCGGTGTGGTTGGGTGGCGGGAAGGAGCTGTGGGTATTATAGCCAGAGAAGAGTTCGCAAGCCTGCCATCCAGCGCAGGCCATCAACCAGCCTACCTTAGTCATTGCATGCATGTAAAGAACGATTGCAGGGTGTGCGTGGTTGATGGGAAGAGAATTGGAGATGGCAGGATTCATGGACCGCTGCAAGCACAGCAGTGTGCTCGTCCGAGGCGCTGGTTGTGCGAACGCTGCCCTCCAACTGCCAGCACTGGCCCGCACCAGCCCCCACGCCTGCCCACGGCCGCTCCCTTTCCGTATCACGCAAGCCAGGCCAGCTGCGGTAATCAATGGCACCGCCCTCACGGCGGTCGTTGGGCATGCGCTGCCGCATGCGTTCGCGTGTGCCGGCACGCGCGGGGCTAGTCACCTCGCAAAGCCCAAAGCGCACGCCTTGCCGACGCCGCCCGCGGCGCCCGTGATCAGAGCAACCCTGCCCTCAAATGTGAAGAGGCCCCCCAGATGCTCCAGCACTTCCTCATGGCTGCCCCTGGGGTTTTGGGGGGCGAAGCAGGCCGCAACTGTGAGTGTGTGCTGGAAGGACACATTTATGAAGGGCTGCACAATCCCGTGCGCAGGGCGGAACCCCAAACAGCAGCTGGTTGAGAAATGATCGCCTTGGTGGCATGGCGGCACCCACGCTAGGAGCCAACCTAGGAGGTGGGCGGCCCGCGTAGTGACGCGCGGCGCCGGCGAGCCCCGCCACGATGGCGGGCGTTCCCATAGCTGTGTTGTGGTGGGCGTGGCGGCCGACGAGCAGGGGAACTGTCACGCACCACGACCTTTATCAACGTCTCACACACGGCGTCTTCGTACAGGAACCAGCAAGGCCGTTGGGTGGTGAAGCTGTTGCCTTGCACTCGTCGCGTGGGTGTGCACATGTGCTTGCGGCGACGCGCGATGGACCTGAGGCGGTTGTGGAAGGCCTGGGTCGCACCTTGCGCCAGAGCGCGACCTAGACCTGATATGAGAGCCATTTGAGTAATAAGTCTCTCAGGCGCCGTTCCGGAAGATCAAGATTGCAAGGACTCCGACCTTGATTTCCGGGATCTCGCTCTATCAGCGCACTTAACCGCCACACAAAGACACTCCACGCTAAATGGTCTCATACGCGCTGTCACGGTGTCAAGCGCGATGGCGCGGTTGGGCCCACTACTCGCTTAATCGCTGAGTCACCATCTGCACCCAAGGTCTGCAGACCATGACCTGCAGTGGCCAGGTGATGGGCTCTACCACAGTGTATAATGCCGCAGCAAGCGTCTCAATCATGCTGGGTTTGCTCCGCACATGCTCGGCACAGCTGCGCTTCGGCATGAACTCTGTGAAGTGCAAGCAACAAAACCATGCTTCACAACCAAGATTTTCTCTGCCATGGGGCCTGTCACCAGCAATGTGCCAAACGCCCATGATCTTGACCTACACCACCACACCCTTCATGGGGTTTGGCTGCCCACCCTGCGGCAGGCGGGTCCTGCACCTTGTCAGTAAGGTTGACACCCACCCGGTGCACAAGCGCACCCCAGCTGACTTGCAACCACCGTCCGCCACGTATTGTGCCCTGAACCAAACACCGTTAGGCCAACAACGCCTTCACGCCCACGTCATATATCAACTTGTAAATTTTTAGAGCACGGCAACACGCCACATGTTGCTGTGCAGAGAGTGTCGAGATGCCCCCAAATAACACCTGCTGGATTGGCTTAGTCAGTACAGCCGCCTATGCAAATGCCCACGTCTAGGCTCCTACCTGCTGCATCATACAACCCTGCATGCGGCCCACCTTCCAGTATGCAAATGGCGCTGCTCAGGTCCGACATACTTTTTGCGACATGAATGTTTGCAGTTGACAATCATGGGCACCATGACGCCAATGGGTGCAGCCAGTTAATGTAGCCGGTCGCTGCAGCTAACTGCTGTTTGTAGCCTATGCAACAGACAGTAGCCATCACAAACAGCAGCCGCCTGCTCAAGGCATACATATATGCCATCGGCGTTCATTGAACACTTCAGTAACTGTTGAGCAACAACCGCCTCATATCCGCCCGCACGTGTGCACAACTGCGCAGCCCCGCATTAGCACCGCAGCTGCCCTGTGCCACAGCCCCAACCCGCCTGTGCGTATTACGGTACGCAGCAGCTGTTCCGACAGCTCCCGCGGCAGCAATTTGTGTGTTACAGCACGACGCAATTGGCGGTGCTCCGCCACCAGCATGAATCTACTTCGGCGCCATCGCCGCGCACGCGGCGTCAACGACTGCCAGCTTTGACCGCCTGTACTCAGCAACCAGCTCCGCGGCCCTACCGCCATCTCCAGTGTCGTTGAGGTCTTTGCTGTCACCATTTCCATGCTCTGGCGCCTCAACGAGTGCTGCCCTGATCCACTGCAGGCGGTCCACCACCAGCTCACCCACACTGACATCCCGCAGCCCAGCAGGCACCTCCAAACCGCTGTCCGCCACACCACCGCCCTCGCCGGCGCCGCCGCCTTGGAGCCGCTGCCGCTCCCGTGCATCGGCGGCGGCGGCGGCGGTGACAACTTGCACGGCCCGCGCCAGGCGGCCATCGAGGCCGCCGGCTGTCACCACGAGCCGGTCGAATGTGGACAGGCTGCCCGAGGCTCCGTCCTGTCCACTCGCCTCCACCGCCCGCTCAGCTACTCTCTGCCAGAAATAGGGCTCCTGGCTTCCACCGGATGCCTCGTTCTCTGCAGGCTGCTGCTGCTGCTGCTGCTGCTGCTGCTGCTGCCGTTGCAGTCCTTCCCGGTCGCCGCTGCCGCCGATGTCGCCACCGCCACCGCCGCCGCTGCTGATGCCGCCGCTGCTGCTGCTTGCGCTAGTCCTGGCGCTGCTGCTGCTGCTGCTGCTGCTGCTGCTGCTGCTGCTGCTGCGGCTACTGCTGCTGCTGCTGCTGCAGTAGTCACAGTAATGCTGTGCCAGGTCAGCCAGACCTGTGTATACCACCACGCTCTCAAAGGGGTTGGCGTCTGGCACAAACCCAAACAGCATGAAATAGGGCTCGGCCGGCCAGGCGTGGCCGTATGATATACACACCTCCTCCCCGTCGCTGACGCCGTCGTCACCTGCCACCAGCTGGAAGAAGCTGGTTGGCAGCTGCCCGGCGGCTGCCGCCGACGCGAGGTCAACAGGGGCGACCTCTTCCAGGGCAGCGGCGCCCTGGCAGGCGTCTGGACTGTGGACTATCCGGACTGTTGCGTTGGCAGCCTCCCCAGCATCATTGGCCATGTCCACTCCTTCACATGACAGTTCGGTGGGGGTATTCCAGCAGCAGCACACGCAGTTCATAGTGCCAGATGCTGTACAAGCGTTTGTACAATGCACAAGGGGCACGAAGTAGTGCGCAAAGCACTGAGACATTCTCTTGCAGTGAGCTCTCGACCACTTTGCAGCTGCCGCCTCAAATGCGTGCCATGCGTCTAGCCCTGCATGCTGCACCGCCCATGCATCCGACCGCACCTGGGACAGACAAGTGAAGTCCGAGGGAAGGATCAAAGAAGCAGCGGGAGTGCAGCACCTGCACTGCCCACAGCAGGTCATCCCAATCGCAGCTGATCGCTGCCAGGTCAGCAGAGAGGGCCTCATAGCAGTCTTGCAGTGTTGACTGCATGTTGGTGATATCCTTTGCAAGGGGTTCGAGTGATGGTGATGGTGATGGTTGAGGTATGTGCGTGTGTGTTTTTGTGTCTTTGTGTGTGT